TGGGATCTGATGCCCTCTTCTGGTGTGTCTGAAGACAGTTACAGTGTACTCACATACATAAAGTAAATAAGCAAATCTTAAAGGGGAAAAAAAGAAATATCAGTCTTGAGCTGGATAGTGGTGGCATACACTTTTAATCTCCAATACTCAGGAGGCAGAGGCACTCTGAGTTCGAGGCCAGCTTGGTCTACAGCGTGGGTTCCAGGGCAGCCAAGGCTACCCAGAGAAATCCTGTCTCAAAAACCAAACAAAACAAACAAGAACAGCTGACTGTGTGTGAAAGAGTGTCTCACCATAGCTTAGTCCAGGCTTTCTGTTAATGTGTGCCAGCCTTCGGTGATTGGGAGACTGCCTTCCAGACAGATTAGTCTGGATAGAGGCAAGACACTGCTAGACTGGGAATCGGCTGAACTAGTGCTGGAGGGAAACCAGGCACCAAAAGCCAGGGACAATTCTTGGAGATAGCCTGAGACTGAGCAGTTGATAGGCCACAGGCAGGAGCCAGAGGCCATCCTGGCCCAGAACCTGGTCCTTTGGAGGCCACACCCTTCTGGAGCTGTTGGGCAGCAGCCTGTAGTAGGAGCAGCACTGTGCTTGGCCTCCAGGTAGAAGCCCTTCAATAGCTTCTTGGGCCAGGAGGGATACAGCCAGTTCCTATAAGGTGGGCTCTGACTGTGAGCTTGACTCCTCCTGTGACTCCTCCCACCTCAGAAAAGCTAGCCCACCCGGAGGAAGGGGCCTTCACCACAAGAGTTCAGGAGAACCAAAAGCTGACAGGACAGGAGCAGCAGGGTCAGGATCTATGTCCCCATGTGTACCAGGCCATTTTTATCTGCTAGAGCAGCCCACCAACTTCAGCTGTACAAAACGGATTCTATTTTACCCCCTTGGAGCAGAATCAGGGTCTCAGGGTGAGGGTCTAATGCATAGCTGGTGCAGTGCAGCCATCTCAGGAGCCTGGGATGCAGCCATCGAATGCTGCCATTAGATGCAGCCATCGACAGCCTTGTGTGATGAATAACACAAAAGGAACTGTCGTGGGGGATCTAAGAGTTTATTATATTATTATTTTAAGAGGTAGAGTGGAAGGCAGGGTGCTGCCATGAGCCAGAGCCAGAAAGAAAGGAAGAGTAGGGAATATGAGGTATGTGCAGGGAGAGACCAGTAGAAGGCTCGCGCCTGTGTCTCTTCTCAGACAGGTGGGACCATGGTGGAACTGAAGCCTCATGGGTCTGCAGGGTAGGTTCTGGGCTGGCCCAAAGTCCAGGGATGGAGCGGGGTGGTGGAAGGGGAATGGAATTACTATCTAAAAGTGGCAAATGAAAACTGATAAAGGACGTTGCAATGCCGTCCCTCACAATTAAGAGGACAGCTTAATTCCTGCTGTGAGAGCAAACCGCCCCCTCCCCCTCTGTGCTGCTGTTAGCACAATACCTTTGCTCTGCTGTTTCCCACACACAGACCTGGCAGCGTTACACAGACACGGAGTCTCCAGACTTCATCTGAGGAGCCCATCTGGTTTGAAGTAATACAACAAGCAGGAAGGGGAACCGAATCAAAGGCTTGATGTGTGGTTAGGGAAAGGCAAAGAACGTGAGACTCACTGCCAGAGGAGGAAGGTCCCATCAGCCCGCAGGGCCAGGGGCCCAGTCTCCACTTGGTCTGGGCTGGACCCACAGAAGGATGTGAGGTGGCTGGAGAGACCCAGGAGGAGGGTGGGGTGGAGTAAGCTCCTTGGCCAAGCCCAGCTGGGACCTCAAGAAAGTCACACAGAGGAGAAAACATAAAACACAGCACAAAGGGGAAACTGAGGCACGCAGCCCAATCCAAGCAGCCTATTCTTCTATCACTGACCTCATGCCTCCCTCTCATCCCTACTTTATCTGTAGTTCACCTAGAGGGGGGTGTCTCACCCTCCACAGAAATCCTGCACACTCCTGATTTCCCCTGCTAGGGCTGGGGCTGGAGTTGCAGACCAGCTGGGGTCTCTGCCTGTCAGCAGCACTCTTGGCACCCCTCAGCAGTTTCCCCTCGTCCTCTGCATGCCAAATGTTTCCCTAGGGAAAGACCTAAGGCAGTGGGTGCTCCCACTTTCCCTTAGGGAAGGCCACCATGCAGAGCGGACACTTGGACACTCCTGAGGCTCCTGGCAGGCTGCCTGTGGCTCTGGTCATTGTCTTATCTCCCCTAGTTGGTCTAGCTCTCTAGTTGGGCCTTTATTATATTTCTGAAGAATTTTGAGGCATAGATTGGAGCCTAGACTGTCTGTACTATCTAGGGATCCCTGGGAACAGCACAGGGGAGAGCCCAATAACTAGGGTGTGGGTAACCAAGAAGATGCAGGTAAAGTAAGACAGTCTGTCCCCACATGGGACAGCACAGCAGCCTACATCAGGGCAGGGCAGGCAATATGGCTATGTGAAAGGAAAAGACTGTCTCTCATAATCATTCAAGTCAACTTGTTATGGCCAAAAGCAGGAGACATTACTCTTTTTGTGGGGTAGGGTCTTTGTAGCTCTGACTATCCTAGAACTCTCTATGTAGACCAGGGTCACCTAGAGCTCACAATGACCCACCTGCCTCCTGAGGGCTAGGATTAAAGGTGTATTTATTTCTCTTAGTTCTGGAGGCTGCAAGTGCAAGGCCAGGGTTTGGGAATGGTCTGTGCTCTTCAGGGCTGTGGACGGCCTCATTCTTGAGTCTTCATCTGGCAGAAGAGTAAGGGGTCCCTTTTAATTTTTTTTTAATTTTTATTAATTTTTATTTTATATCTTTGAGTGTTTTTCCTTTGCACCATGTGTGTGCAGTGCTTGCGAAGGCCAAAAGAAGGCGTCTGTTTTAGCTTCTGAAATTGGAGTTACAGGTGGTTGTGAACCATCATGGTGTGCTGAGAACTGGACTCCAGTCCTATGGAAGAGCAGCCAGTGTTCTTAACCAGTGAGCCATCTCTTTGGCACCTGTGTCTTTTATATGGGTACTAATCCTTCTCAGGGGATCCTTGGGCACCTGCTCCTACCCACCCCAACGTAGCTCCCACCTCTGATCATTACACTCTAAGGCTATACCTCCAAAGACCATCATATTTGGGAGTGCAAAGGCTGAACTGGAGAGTGTGCCATTCAGAAAACAAGGCAGAGCATGGCGGCACACTCCTCTGTGAGTTTGAGGCCAGTCTGATCTACATCGTGAGTTCCAGGACAAGCCAGTCTACATAGCGAACTCTCTCTCTCTCTCTCTCTCTCTCTCTCTCTCTCTCTCTCTCTCTCTCTCTCTCTCTCCTCTCTCTCTCTCTATAGAGAGAGAGAGAGAGAGGAGAGAGAGAGAGAGAGAGAGAGAGAGAGAGAGAGAGAGAGAGAGAGAGAGAGAATCTCTAACCAACCAAAGAAAACCAGATGGGCAAATGGGCCATCACAGAAAAAGTAACTTCTGGAAAGTATTTCTTATAAGGCAGCCACGGGCTGTTGGGATGCAGCCGCCCACACGGAGGTCAGCTCCATAGGATCAGCCTCCTGTTTACAAGATGTGCTCAGGTTCATCCCTGGGACAGAGGCGAGAAACCCTAGGCTTTGAGAGTCATGATGGAAAGTACCCCTTCTCTGCTGCCTCTGGTCAACACTCAGTGCCTGAGCACATAGCACTAGGAATCCCACCAGTGAGTCCTTTCATGTGGCTAGCAATGGTCCAGTTCTTATGAACACCAGCTCTGTGGGAGCAGGGATATTTTCAAAGTCAATGAATTGCACTTAGGGTCTCTGCTCTGTGTGTGTGTTCCAACCCTGCTTACAAAAACCGGGTGCTGCGACAGCTCACTTCAGCTTTAACTAATATAAACATGGAGGTGCTAGTGAAACAGCTCCGCCCACACCCCTAGCCTGCTGAAAGAATGTGAAAGGACTGCATTCCCTGAGGGAGAGGGGCTGCCTGAAGCTGACCATTGCCCTCTGCAGGACAAACCTCAGGCTACTACTCTAGGCCAGTATGGAACAGGTGGCCTTGAATAGAGCCCACTGTCACCTATAGAAAGAAACTTGAAGGAAGGTTAGGGGCAGGAGCTGAGAATGAATGTCCATAGCTGTGCTCAAGGAAGTTTCCCCACAGCTTTGTCCCCTCTGGTCTTATGAACTAGATGCTCTTGGAAGGAAGGGGGTGACACCCAACCTGGGACAGGTCAGACATGAGACAAGTTGGACTGACTTAGGGTTGACATGCGGAAGTGCCCAAGGAAGGCATGTCTCTGATGGGGACAAGTGCCGTGAACATACTGAAACAGAAGGCCAGGGATAGAACCTGACATTTCCCATTTATTTGAGGCATAAGCCAGCCTTAACTCTGGCTGGCCTTCGGTTGGCCCTTCCTGCTGGAGCTCAGGAAGGGAGGGATCAAAGGGTTCCTTTGGCCACTTCGATGGTGTTGAGTTAATGGAGACAGGTCACCCAGCCACCTGGCCTGGGAAAAATTGCTTCACACGGGAGTTTCAAGATGACTCATGACCACTGTCATTGTGCGCCCCCCCCCCATCACTCTGTGGGGACATTCAGTGAATAAAGTCAATAAACAGGGGGAAACGCAATTCTGAACTGGTGCCAGGACAGGGCAGCGCTGGAAGAGCCGAGCCTGCCGCTTGTTTCTCTCTTTTCGCCGCATGCCATCCGAGGCCGGATGGACAGTGTCCTGTCCCGAACATCATTCTCGGCAGCATCACGGAAAAACTTAAAGGTCTAGTCCTGTAAACAGGTTCAGGCCCAAACCCTGCACCAGCAGCTACAGGTGTGGAGAGCTGAAGTGACAGCCCCGGGAAACCACACGCTCAGCCTGTAGTGGACTCGGTCGGGGAGCTGCTGGAGGGAGGCAGTGAGCCCACGGGGAGGGGAAGGACGATTAGGGCTGAGGAGGCCTTGCTCCACGCCCACACCAATGACCAGAGCTGGGAAGACTAAGTAAGTCCCTCTGTCCCAAAGACGCCCGACCCCATCGAATTAGATGCAAAAGAATAGCCACACCGGCAGTTTCCAAAAGAGGCGAAACCGTTTATGAAAGCGGCGCCGGTGCAGTATCTACAGTATCTACACATATCTACACGTATCTACACCGCCCGCAGGCGGGGCTCACTCGGGTCTCTACACTGCAATTGCCGGCCGGGCTGGAGGCGACGCGGTCTCGCGAAGAACAATAAATACCACTTCCTTCCGCCTCGGACGGAGCTTTGGCACTAGCGGGCGGGAGGCCCGCATGGCTCCCCACATGGGGAGTGAGTCCTTGGGTGGCCCTTGGGGCACTATCTGGGGCAGTAGTCGTAGGCACCGGGCGGCGCGGCTGCGGACGAGTACACGTTGGCTGCTGCGGCGGCGGCGGCGGCGGCAGCGGCGGCGGCCGGGTTCACCGCCGGGTGGTGGTGGTGCGGGTGCGGGTGCGCGTGCGGGTGCGGGTGGTAGCCGTGGCCGCGCAGGCCTGGCAGCGGGTAGGGCGCCGGCCGGCTCTTGGCCCCGAGGTAGTGGTCGTAGGTGGCGGCCGGGTACTTGTAGGGATGGTGGTGCAGCGGCTCCGACGCGCCCGGCGCCTCCAAGCGCAGATCGGCGTGCGGGGGACTGTGGCGCCCTCCGGATCCGCCGGGCAGCGGGACGAGGCCGCCAGGCCCAGGCAGAGCGGGGCTCAGCACGCGCGCCAGCAGCTGCGGCGGGTGCGTGGCGTCGCTCAGAGCTGCGGGTCCGGAGTCACGATCGAACTCGCGCCGGGCTTCTGGCGCGTCTGCAAGGAGAGTCGGGGATGAGCACGGAGCAGGGACCGTCGGGGCTCACCTCAGCCCCCACCCCAACCCCGGCCCGCGTCGTCGGGGCGCGGCGGGCGGGGTGGCGGGCGGGAGAGCGAGTGCCCGCTTGCCCGCTCGCCGCCTCCTTGTGCAACTGCTGAAGCCGCGACGCCCCGGGGTGCGGGCGAGGCTGGGTGCGGCGGCAGACCCGGGTGGAGCGAGCGCGCACGGGCTACGGCCGCGATCCCACGACCCCAGGTCCTACCTTTGTCCGCGCCGTTAGGCTGCGTGGGGGAAGCCACGGGATTCCGAGAGCGAGTGAAGGCACTCACAAGCGGCAGCGCTCCGGGCCGGTGGTTCCGGGGCCTGAGGAAGGGGAGTTGGGTCATGTCACCATGGCATCCAGACCAAGAGCCCCGACCCTTGCTTTTCCTTCTGAGGGCACTCACCAGTCCTCCGGGTCGCAGTCCCGGAAGCCTTTGGCGAAGGGGTTGCTGGCAATCTTAAGCTGCGTGATCTGCGGGGAAGTTGGTGTAAACTAACTGCGCTCGCTGCTCGACCTCGGCAGCGGTGGGCAGGGGATGGTTACTAGGCCTTTTACACTATCTGGAAGAGAAGGGGCCCACAACTGCACCCCGCCCCAGCACGATGCGCCTTCTCTCACCAGATCTACCGTTGCCTGCCCAAATATATGAAGAAGAAGACTCATGTCCCTGACTAGGATGGGAATGTGGTCACCTCCGCCCTCCTTAGCCCCCCAGCACAAAGAGCACAACTGAGCTGCAGCCCTAGGAATCTGGGTAAACCTCAGATCAGGCCTCTGATGGGGAGTTTCCGGAATGGTTTGGAAAACAAACTTTCAGGCTGCAATGACAGTTGCTGATACAGAGGTCAAGCTGATATAGGAGGCTGGGCGGGCCTGTCCCCGGGCCCCCCAGCAGACCCTCACCCGGTGATTCTGGTAGGCAGTGACTGCAGTGAAGCGTGTCTCCTCAAACACAAAAGTTTTGAAGTTCTCCTCTGCATATTTCTCACTGTCTTTTCGAGGGTCCACATAGACAACGTGGAAGCGGGGCTGGTATCTGTGCATGGAGTTGAGAATAATCTGGAAGACAAGGATGGGGGTCAGTTGCAGCCTTGAGGCTGGAGGAGGATTCAGGCCAGAATCATGACGCAAGCAAAGTCTAAGTAAACAGTGAATTTACTTAGCTAATGTGGGCAAGTCCCCTCACTCTAAAGACTATATAGGCCTTTGCAGCCCATTTAGTATCTCTAGGAAAAGATGCTTCTTCAACTGGCAAATGATGGGATTGTAGATCTTATTTACTTAGGACCCCAAGAATTGCCCTAGGCCTGGACAGGGTGGCAGCTATGAGGCAGAGTTCCATGCAGCAGGAGCCCCCTCCCCCAGACTGGGATTGCAGAAGACTCTTGCCCTTTTCTCACAAAGGCATCTGCTTTTCAGTTAAAGAGCCTCCCCCAACCTGAGCTCATAGTGGGAAATGGAAGGAAGGTGACCTCCTCACAGAGGCCATCCTGTCAGAAGCCAGCAACCCAGTGTTGCCCCAGTACTGCCTCTGTCTCTAGTCAGTGGGGACTCTGGGCCTACAGCAGGGGACAGCTCAGAAGCCAGAGAAGGGTCGCCTACATGGCCATTGTCATCCAGCAGGTTATTGGTCAGCTTCAGCTTGTCGAAAGACACAATTTGTTTCATCCACTGTGCGCCTTTAGCCGGTGAGTCAGGGTGGTAGTGCACTCGGCCAGGTGTGGCAGGATCAGCCTTGCCGGCCACCAGCCAGGAGGAGCTATGGAAAGCATACCTAGAGCAACATCGTGGGAGGGGGTCATGCTACATAGGGTAAACATGCTACATAGGGTAAACACGATATATAGGGTAAACATGATATATAGGGTAAACATGATACATAGGGTAAACAAGGAGACCCCATCCATGTGCAGATTGAACCCCAAAAGAACTTTAGAATTGTCTGTTCTCTTGGTGAAATCAAGATTCCCAATTCACAGCGGCAAGAGAGGGGACTATGAATAAACTAGAAAACTTCCTAAGGCCCAACACACAAAAGGTTAGGGAAACCTAGGTGCAGAAAGAGAGGAAGCCACTCCCCTCTTCCATTTCGCTGCAAGCGGGTCTGCCTGCCCCAGGGCCCGGAAGGTCAGCGACTGGATTTGGCGTCACTAGCCGGTGGCTTTAGGCGCAGGGCGGCAGCGTTCCCTGTATTAATTACTATTAATTGTCCAAGCAGCCCAGGCCCGCCCTGCACAATCTTTACCCCACATTTTTGACCCAGCTCTGGAACTGAAGGTCCTCTAGAAATAGGGGAAGGGGACAAGACTGGCACCAGAAGTGGCAGACTACACAGGCCAAGGCATCTGAGCTGCCTGTTGCCAGAAGCTCAGGAGGTTCCACCAGTGAGTTTCTGAGGCAGCTCAGAATACATAGGGTGGGATCTGAGGGAGGACCGAGCAGGGCAGGAGTAGGCTGTGGAGTGGCCAGTACAGGAGGCCCAAGTCATGAAAGAGCTTGGGTGGCATTTGAAGTCTGCCAGCAGGAGGGACTCGATTTTTTTCTAGCACATCCACCCACCCTGTTCCCTGAACACACAGCTTGTCTCAGTGGTCCCAAGGGCTTGCTCACCGGTAGCGCTTGTCATCCACGGGCACAAAGTCCATGAGAAGCATGTAGTCAGCCATGGGATCCATTCCAAAAAGCTTCACTTGGAAGGTGGGGAACATTCGTCTGGGGGTGGGGGTAGGGAAGGCAGGTTACCTCAGGTAGTGAGTACAGGACCACTCTCTAGCTTCTCTGGCCTGGCAGCCCCTAGCTCAGCCCTTCCTTCGGGTCTCTCTTCAGCTGCTTTCTTGGCTCTCTAACTTCAAGTAGGCCCTTATCCAACTCTGGGCAAGGCAACAACAGGTCAGGCCCCAGGTCCCTCTCTGAAACACAGAAATGGCTAACCAGGTGCTGAGCTGCAGAATCCCAAAGCCTGTTCTGTCTTCTTTGCTTACACAGACACTCTTACCCCAGGAATCTCAGAACTTTCTGGACCTCGACTCAGCCAGCTGCAGGATACTTACGATCTGGGTCCCGGGACTTCTCTCCCCTTCTCAGAGCCTCCCTGACTTCATCCAACAAAGTGAAAGAGTTCCCGGTTCCAACAAAGTGAAACCCGTGCTGTAGTGATCCCAAACATCCTCCCCACCCCCACCCCCCACCAGTCACACTGACACCCCAGCACTCCAACCGTCAACTCTCAAGACTCTCAGTTTCCCAACTTTCTGTAGGACACAGGCAAATCCCTGTTTCCCCCAAGAATCTGTTTGCAAAGGACTCAGCGTATGCTTTCCTGTTTCCTCCCTCTCCTCTAAACCCCTCCAGTGTTATTCAAGGCCCTTGTTCGTCTGCCCGGAACCAGAAGGCCAAGCTGCTGTCTTCAGTAGGCTGTGTTGGGTGGTATGGATAGCTAAAGATCCTGGAGAAAATCCACAGAGCAGCAGCGAAGGACAGGCCTAGGTTCCCCAGGGAAGGCTGCACAGCAGGGAAACAGAAACCTCGAGAAGGCTTTGCAAACAGGCCCTGAGCCTCCTTGGCCACGGAGCTGGTGTGTACATTAGACACAACCCAGCACCCGCCTTTGTCTACTGGTCAAATCGGGAGCATCTGCAATTGTTCCTTTTCCCTCTCGGCCCTGAAAACAAATAACAAAGCGACTGGCACGGATACCCTGCCAGGCTTGTGAAGAACTGGGCCCACAAGCGGCCAAAATTGAGGCCCAAGAAAACCAGGTCTCGAGTTCCCGGAAAATGAGCGCACTGGCTTTTAAGGGTCTTAACTCTTTCCTAAAATTATCCATACAAATAGGGATGTTTGTCCTTGAGATTGCCGTACAGACCGAACTAAACCCACGGGGAGTTTCCTAGGTGGCAGCTGCCTACCCGCCGCGACCGGGCGCGCTTTTGGCCCACAGATTTCCCTCGAATTCGAAGAGTCCCAGGACTCCCGGTTGGTGCTCCGCGGATTGTCGCTGGAGCCGGGTCAGCAGAGAGGCCAGACGGACCCGCAGGTGGCCCGGCTGCACCTCCATCCGCTTTCCAACCCGGCTCCCGCGCATCCCTTGGACACGCAGTCAGAGGCACGGCACGCACGTGGGCAGGGGCGCGGGGAGGGGGCGCCTGACCTGCCTGCCTTGGTGACGATCATCTCGGTGCCCAGCTGATTGAACTCGTCCCACAGCGCCTTCATCTCCAGCTGCACGCTCACGCTAGCCACCTTCGGGTTCTTCTTCACTGGCGCCTTGGCCGCGGCGGTGCGGCTAACCCCCGGACCCTCGGACTCCGCCGCCGAGCTGCCGGCCGTCCCGGGGGCGGGCGCGAAAGGGTAGGCGCGCGGCGGCGGGCCCGGGGCACCGGGGGCGGCAGCGCAAGGATCGTAGCGCGGTGGCGGCGGCTCGCGAGGGCCGAACGGGTCGGCGCCAGGCGACGGGGCTCCCAGGCCGCTCAGACTGCTGGCCGCGAAGGCTGCAACGTCGCAGAAGTGCGAGAGCTGCGTGAGCCACGGGCTGGACACGGCGGAGATCATGACCCGAAGGCCACCCGCCGCCGATCAGAGCGCCGTCCCGCGCGGCGGGCCGAGTGGCGGGCGCAGCGCCGCACGCGCCCCGGGCCGCACCGCTCC